AAAAGGGGGTCAACTGATATAATGTTTGTCATAATATCACCAATATTTTTTTTACAAATTTTTGATATTTTCACAAGAACCGAGATAAGTGAGCAAAAAGTTGACGGTTACAGCTCATGAAAATCATCCCATTATTCGAAAACAAACATGTGATAGAAGGGTCAAGTTTGAGCTAAATTATCTCACTTTCTGTGAAAGATATCAAAAGTGTGTCAACTGATAAAACATTTTTGATACAATGATAAACATATTATCAGTTTACGACTTTTTCAGATCCAACGGTAACCGAGATAAATTACCTTAGAGTTGAAAGTTAGGGGGCTCTTCTATTACAGGTCTTAAGGTATTTAATACTTGTCAGTTTAGTCTGAAAGTTTTAGAGGTTATAAATCGAATCAAATATTGAAATTTGTTTTTATGATTATCAAAAAAAAGATACGGTATCTGAAAATAGTAGACCCCTCAAAATCTCTAAAATTGCGAAAAATGCATACTGAAAACAGCATTAAAAAACAAGGGACCTCTATCGATCTTTTCCCAAACCACGAGATTTTTTTCAAAAGTTGAAGAAGAGATGTGCAAAACATGAAAATTGTGCTCTTGAGACATTGACAAGAATGGATGAAAATGGAGGGTTTTCTATGTTCTCTAGGGACCGTATCATCAAAAGTGACATGTTGTGTTCCTCCTCTTGATTGGAGAGACAACGAAAAATGTTCTATTTGTTTCTTTTTTAGTAAAAGGAAAAGAGAAAGTAAAAAAAGTGAAAGAATTTTTCGCTGTAACTCTGGGAGATACTTGATTTTTGGTTTTGGCTGTCTCAGTGTGTGTCTCGTGGATTTTGGATAGATTCGAGAAGTGAAAGAAATGTAGATACAAAAAAGGAACCAAACAATGGATTTGGATAGAGAGATTCTGGAGAGATTCCGGAGATACTTGATGAAATTTGAAAAATTAACACTTATGACATAGAAGTCAATTCTCGAGGAACGCGAGAAGCAAAAATTCTCCTGAATTTCGGGAAATAATATTCTAAATTTACCGTGAAACCTGTAATAGAAGAGCCTGTTTCTTTTAACTTTGAGTTAACTCATCTCGGTTCCTGTCAAAGATATGAAAAAGTTGTCAACTTGTTTGAAATGATACTGCTAACATTTTATCAGTTAACACATTTTCGATATCTCAAATAGGAATTGAGATGAATTAGCTCAAACTTTACAGGGTGAAAGCCCTTCTATTACAGATCCTATAATTTGGTGACCACCTTGTTTTTGTACAATATTCTGATGTTATTTCTCATCTCAGAAAACACGAAAATCCAAAATCTGGATGATAAGATGATTATCGGTTTGAATACAAAGATCAAGAGAAAATTTCAAGGATTTCTTCTCCTGAATTCTCTGAGAAAAGCTGTAAATTGAATTTGGAAGCGACTCCCCTTTTCTGAGATTTTCAACGAAAAAAGTGGGGAAAAAAAGGAAAGAGAAACAACGGATGAGGCGGAGGCACTTCACTTTTTTCTTTTGGGTGAGAATTAACTTCTTTTTCAAAAATTCTCGCTTTTTTTTGGGAAAAAAAACTACTCCAGGATTCGTCTTCTTCAGAATATTTACATAATCCACGACTTCTTTCTTTTCTTGTTTTCTAGAACAAAAACAAAATTGGAAGAGAAGAAGACGTCAATCAGTGATAATGATAAAAAATAAAAAGAGAAAATAAGAATTTTCGTAGGGAAAGAAAGAGAAATAGAGCCGGATAGAATGAGTAAGATTAAGAATAAGCAGAAAATAAGAAAGAGAAGAAGAAGAAGAAGAAGAAGAAGAAGAAGAAGAAGGTGTACATAATAATCCTGTGGGAAAATTTTTGTACTTCGTGATTTGAGCAGAAAAAAACATTCCTGAAAAAGTTTGAAAGCAAAAAAATTACAAGTGAACAGAGAGAGAGAGAGAGGGAGGGGGATGTAATTAGAGTTTTGAAAGGGAAGAAAAACTCAGAATGATGTCAAACGATGTCATTTGGATTCCGCTCGTCATCATAAGTGGAAAACTACAATTTAATATTTTAAAGATTACTGTAAAACCTGTGTTAGAAGGGCCGCCTAACTTTTAATTTTGTGCTCAATTATCTGGATTCCTGTCAAAGATATAGAAAAGTTGTCAACTGATAAAATGGTTATCATAATATCAGAAGTATTTTGTCAGTTGATACATTTTTGATATCTTTCGCAGGGAACGAGATAAAGTAACTCAAACTTGACAGTGCGGGGGCACCTCTACTAAAACATGTTTTACGATAAATTGAAAACTATCATAGGTAAGCAAAATCAGAGTTTTCATTTTGTAGCTGACCTTTTTTCTTAAAGAAATGCATCAAAACCAGACCCGAGCCTAGCTGTAATCATGGCTTTTTTGAATTTTTCTGTTTTTTAATCGTTTCGTAAAAATTAAATTACAAAATTGGAGTTCTCATTCCATTGTATAATTAACAACTTCAAATGGCTCAACAAAATCAGCCAAGTGGCCTTTCAAAAAGGAACCGAGATAATTGAGCTCAAGGATAATCATTTGGGTGGGCTTCTATTAGAGGAAATACTGGTCAGTTTGGTTGTTGTTTCTTCAATTTAAATATCTGGATTGTTTCAAATTCTTTGGTCATTCAGAGCAAAAATTAAAGATTCACACAAAACTTTTTTATAATTTATATAGTTAGGAATAGCAATCTAGATGATGTGGTATAAAAGTAGAGCTTCTAGAAATCTCTTTTCTTGCAGACTTGACAGATATCTAACATGGCATTCTACTTTTTATTTTCATAAAGAGTATTTTTAAAATGTGCAAGACAGGTTCCAGACGACTAATGAAAAACAATAATTTTCATTTTTCAAGGATTCTGAAGAGCCACATTGCGTGTCGTGTGGAAGAAGAAAGAAGAAGAAGACGTAAGAATTGTAGACTGATAGATCAAGAAGAGGAAACGAATGTGGCAACCTACAATTTTAGAAGACGTGCGGGGGAATTAGGATTCAAAGAATTGGTGATGTTCAACTGGAAATGAGAAAAATTCAAAATCACTTTGTATTATTTGGTCTTTTCAGGACAAAATAAGAGAGAAGACACACGGGTACGGACGGAAGTGGTGCCCTCCCTTCTCCTCCCCCTCACGTCTTCAGAAGAAATCGAATCAGACATTTTTCTATCTCTCTATTTTTCTCTCTTCTAGAAAAGAGTCATCCCTAAATGTGTGATACTTGATCCAATTTTGAGTACTGATGATTTCTAGAAGAGAAGTATCAGATTCGGTGTGAAAAAAAGAAATAAGAAACCAGAAAAATGGAGAAAGGGAACCGAAAAGAAAAAGAGCGAAAAACTTGAATAGGAATGTGCTTGTTTGCTTGATTGCCGCCTGATAATTGCATTGACTTTCATTTTGGATTTTTTTTCTTTTTGGTTCCCCTTGTCTTATTTATTGGGTCTTTTTAAGACATAGTCTTGTTTAAACGTTTGATGAGAATGATGAGAGTTAATTACTGTAGATTTCTTGAAATGAGAGAAAAAGAGACAATACCAAAGACAGACCTCGCTGTCTAAAATTTTCGAAATTATCAAATTCCGCAAGTTTGAGCTCAATTATCTCGATCCATTTGCTAGATACCAAAAATGTGTCAACTGATAAAACAATTTTGATATTATAATGAACAACTTATCAGCTGACAATTTTTTTCTGTCCTTGACAGGAACCGAGATAATTGAGCTTAAAAAGGTAAGGGGTCCTTCCATAACAGGTTTTACGGTGAGTTTTTTTTTTGACAATTTTCATGTATTTTCAGTTTTTTGTGGTTTTGATATCATTTGCAGTGATTTTGATAATAATTTTTATAGATTTTGGTACCATTTTCAAGGAATTTGGTTTCATTTGTAGTGGAGTTTGGTAGCATTTTTTGAAGATTTTGGTACAATTTGTTTTTTTTTGTATTTGGTACCATGAATTTCGGTACCAGTTTTAGTAATTTTTGGTACCAAAATCTTAAAATTTACCGTAAAACCTATAATAGAAGGACCCCAAAATTTTAATTTTCAGCCACTTTCTCAGTTCTTGTTGAAGATAACAAAAAGTTGACAACTAAAAAAATATTTTTATAAAACCACAAACATTTTATCAGTTACCACATTTTTGATGCCTTTCAAAGGTGCCGAGATATCTGAGCTCAAACTTTACAGTGTTTTATTTTTGCTCATTTTTTGCACAATTTCATAGTTCTTTGATTCTAATATTTGTAGTATTGAATGTCTATTTTTTTTTCAATTTTCCAGATTTTTATTTATCTTAACGGCTACAAAGAATTACAAATGTCTAGTTTTCTCAAAGCGAATTATTAATTTGTAATTACAAATTTCTAAGTCTCATAAAACTGGTTTCGAATGCTGAGCAATTGAATAAATGATTCAGAATGCTGAACTTTGATTATTCTAGATTCCCTTCTGTAATTATGAATCCCTTGAGAGGGACACTACTCACTAATTGTTCACTTCCCTCCTCCAGATTCTCACTTTTTCATTTCAAATTGTCTTCCAGAAAAAACAAAACAAAGAAGGAAAAGAAGAAGAAGAAGAAGTCAGCGTCAATCAAAAAAGTTTTCTTTTTTTTCCAGAACAATTGGATCAACGATCGACGGAAGGAGCACGAGACGAAGGAAAAAACGGATATTTTTGCATTTTCTTCTATTTTTTACTCTCCGAACAAATTGAGGATTGGGATACAGAAGGAAGTAACAAAGAAAAGGAAAGGGTTTCTCTGATAGGAGAAAAAAGGAGAAAAAACAACAAATTCGAGAAGTCTCTGGAGAGAAAACGAAACGGAGAAGCCCCTCCATATATCCACAGCTTCTCATATTTTCTCACACTTCTTCCTCTTTTTCCCCTTTTCTACAGAATATTACATCGATTTGTTGTCTTGAAAGAATGAGCAAGTTTTTGAGATTTACTCTGATTTCTATGCTGGCATTGGGAATTCTTGGTGAGAAATTTTTAGAGATGAATGGGTACTTACCTTAAATTTATTAGTCGTGATGTGTCTAAGAAAATTTTGAAGTCTTCCCGGTCCTTAACCGAACAAATTCATTTATTGGAATCTGTGAAATCTTGGATGTAGAACCCGCACAACTTGAAATTTTGAAACTTCAGATTCTGAGATTCTGAGATTCTGAGATTTCAAGATTACGAAATTCTGAAATTATGAGATTCTGATATTCTGAGATTCCGAAATTCTGAGATTCTGAAATTTCAAGATTACGAAATTCTGAAATTTTGAGATTCTGATATTCTGAGATTCCGAAATTCTGAGATTCTGAGATTTCAAGATCCCGAAATTCTGAAATTTTGAGATTCTGATATTCTGAGATTCTGAGGTTCTGAGATTTCGAAATTCCAAAATTCTGAGATTCTAAGATTCCGAAGTTCTGAGATTATGATATTCTGAGATTCCGAAATTCTGAGTTTCCGAAATTCTGAGATTCTGAGATTCTGAGATTCTGAGATTCTGAGATTCTGAGATTCTGAGATTCTGAGATTCTGAGATTTTGAGATTCTGAGATTCTGAGATTCTGAGGTTTCGTTCGAGATTCTGAAATTTTGAAACTCTAAGATTTTGAGATTCTGAGATTCCGAAATTCTGAGATTCCGATATTCTGAGATTCTGAGATTCTGAGGTTCTGAGATTTCGAAATTCCAAAATTCTGAGATTCTAAGATTCCGAAATTCTGAGATTCTGAGATTCTGAGATTCTGAGATTCCGAGATTTCGAGATTCTGAAATTCTGAGATTCTGAGATTCTGAGATTCTGAGGTTCTGAGATTTCGAAATTCTGAGATTCTGAGATTCTGAGATTCTGAGATTCTGAGATTCTGAGATTCTGAGATTCTGAGATTTTGAGATTCCGAAATTCTGAGTTTCCGAAATTCAGATTCTGAGGTTCTGAGATTTCGAAATTCCAAAATTCTGAGATTCTAAGATTCCGAAGTTCTGAGATTCTGATATTCTGAGATTCCGAAATTCTGAGTTTCCGAAATTCTGAGATTCTGAGATTCTGAGATTCTGAGATTCTGAGATTCTGAGATTCTGAGATTTTGAGATTCTGAGATTCTGAGATTCTGAGGTTTCGTTCGAGATTCTGAAATTTTGAAACTCTAAGATTTTGAGATTCTGAGATTCCGAAATTCTGAGATTCCGATATTCTGAGATTCTGAGATTCTGAGGTTCTGAGATTTCGAAATTCCAAAATTCTGAGATTCTAAGATTCCGAAATTCTGAGATTCTGAGATTCTGAGATTCTGAGATTCCGAGATTTCGAGATTCTGAAATTCTGAAATTCTGAGATTCTGAGGTTCTGAGATTTCGAAATTCCAAAATTCTGAGATTCTAAGATTTCGAAATTCTGAGATTCTGAGATTCTGAGATTCTGAGATTCCGAGATTTCGAGATTCTGAAATTCTGAAATTCTGAGATTCTGAGGTTCTGAGATTTCGAAATTCCAAAATTCTGAGATTCTAAGATTTCGAAATTCTGAGATTCTGAGATTCTGAGATTCTGAGATTCCGAGATTTCGAGATTCTGAAATTCTGAGATTCTGAGATTCTGAGGTTCTGAGATTTCGAAATTCCAAAATTCTGAGATTCTAAGATTCCGAAATTCTGAGATTCTGAGATTCTGAGATTCTGAGATTCCGAGATTTCGAGATTCTGAAATTCTGAAATTCTGAGATTCTGAGGTTCTGAGATTTCGAAATTCCAAAATTCTGAGATTCTAAGATTTCGAAATTCTGAGATTCTGAGATTCTGAGATTCTGAGATTCCGAGATTTCGAGATTCTGAAATTCTGAAATTCTGAGATTCTGAGGTTCTGAGATTTCGAAATTCCAAAATTCTGAGATTCTAAGATTCCGAAATTCTGAGATTCTGAGATTCTGAGATTCTGAGATTCCGAGATTTCGAGATTCTGAAATTCTGAAATTCTGAGATTCTGAGGTTCTGAGATTTCGAAATTCCAAAATTCTGAGATTCTAAGATTTCGAAATTCTGAGATTCTGAGATTCTGAGATTCTGAGATTCCGATTTTCTGAGATTCTGAGATCCTGAGATTCTGAGGTTTCGTTCGAGATTCTGAAATTCTGAAACTCTGAGATTCTGAGATTCTGAGATTCCGAAATTCTGAGATTCCGATATTCCGAAATTCTGAGATTCTGAGATTCTGAGATTCTGATATTCTGAGATTCTGAGATTCTGATATTCTGAGATTCTGAGATCCTGAGATTCTGGGTTTCGTTCGAGATTCTGAAATTCTGAAACTCTGAGATTCTGAGATTCTGAGATTCCGAAATTCTGAGATTCCGATATTCTGAGATTCTGAGATTCTGAGGTTCTGAGATTTCGAAATTCCAAAATTTTGAGATTCTAAGATTCCGAAATTCTGAGATTCTGAGGTTTCGTTCGAGATTCTGAAATTCTGAGATTCTGAGATCCTGAGATCCTGAAATTCTGAAATTCTGCGATTCTGAGATTCTAAGATTCTAAGATTCTAAGGTTCTAAGGTTCTAAAATTCTAAGATAAGGAAATCAAAATATTTTCAGCCGACATCCGCATTCCTCTCTTTGGCGGATCCATCACCATTCACAGCAATTCTGATGGGAGTTTGAATGTTGCAACTAACAAGGTACCGAAAATCCAATTTCTCAAAAATCGACAATGAGTTTTTCAGAAGTCGTCCACCACAAACACTGAAAAGCACACCAACTTTACTGTACGTAACGGTACTGTAGAAGATTTTGGTAATTGAAATTAACAAATGGGTGATAAAATTTTTTTAGTTCCAGAATTTTCTTCAAACACCACGTCATCAGAACCACATGAATCAGCAACCGAAAAACCAGAAGAAACGTCTAGAAAGCGTCCATCTCAACAGAGACCGAAATCGGATGTGTTGAATGCGTTACTCTCCATGTTTGGAAGATTTTAATTCTTTGTGTAAATAAACTCGATTACCGTAAAACCTGTAATATAAGGTAATTTATCTTTTAACTTTGAACCAGTTTTACTAGCTTTTTGTCACATCGTGTCGGTACTTTATATATATAAATGTGTTTTCATATCAATTTATACACACTACATGGCCATTGGCATCAAACATGCAAGAACGTTTTTTTCGTTGAAAGGGGGTGTGGCCTAGTAGATCGTGATGTTTTGATTTTCAATGTTTAAACAATCCGAAGTATGTTCAAGATTTCAAAAAATCGAGCATGCCAAATTCAATGAAATTTAATAGAGTCAGGGAAGGAAAGTTTTGAAGTCGGAAATCGGCATGTTCTAGTAGATCCTTTGCTACCAGAAGGCTATGCTTACGCTACCAATTGCTATTTCATTTATTTTGAAATTTGATTTCGGTCATTTGGTAAAAGGGGGACGTTCAGTGATATACACCTAGCCATGAACCCCAAACAATGGCGACCCGAGGCCTTTCAGTACTTTTTTTACTTCAATGACGTCAATCAGTCTTCAAAAAAAATAGCAATGAGTAGCGCATCCGAAGCTTCCTGGCAGATGGCAGCATCCAACTCCAACCAGCATCCGACATCCAACTTTGTCCTCCTTGCTCGTTCGGTGCTGATCCCGGTGGTCATCTTTGTAGAGAGGTCAGTTGTCTTCGTAGAATTGATAGGATCCCTTTCCATCCCAGCTGCCCGTTGATTTAGTTGATTTACGTCTACTGTATTTTTGATTGCCTTCTGAAATCAAGATCAGTCAGTGTCTTGAAAACATGTGAACCTAGAGCATCAGCATCATCAGTATCAGATCCCTCACATCAAGACACCTAGAATTTCTGTATCAGAAAAATGAGGAATTTCGAAGTTTCAATCAAAATCTCCGAATCTCAGAATTTTCTAATAGCAGAGTTTCATAATTTCAAAATCTCAAAATTTCAGAGTTTCAGGATTTCAGAATTTCAGTTTTTTAGAATTGTAGAATTTTAGAATTTTAAAAATTGAGGATTTCAAAATCTCAGTATTTCAAAATCTACGAATCTCAGAACTTCCGACTATAGAATTATCACTAGCTGAAATAAAATATAGTTTTTGTTCCAGAATTTTTTTTCCAAACACCGCGATCTCAGAACCATATGACTCAGCAATCGAAAAATTAAAAGAGACTTCTAGAATCGGATGTGTCGAATGCGTTATTTTCCATGTTTAAAAATGTTGATGTACATAATTTTAAAGGTGGGGGGACATGAAAAAAATAATGTTCTCGAAATTCCGTTTAAATATGCCCCTCGAGGAGTTGAACTTGTGAGGGCGATGATTGAGGGTGCACAGGTCCTGGGCGCGCATACGCATAATGGATGGGCGACGGAGGACGCGCCGATGAATTGGGTACAGGGAAAGGACGCCGGTATGGGCATATACGGGGCATATGGGGCACACCGCCGCCGCAAAGCATCTCCTCGCCTGGCTTGCTGGCACTCGATGAAGTGAACTAAAACGTTGGTTGGGGATTCCTAGAAGTATCAGTTAAGTTCTATTGTGATGTGATTTTGTTCAGGTCTTCCGATTTCGTCTTTTCATTTATTATTCCATATTCTTTTATATTTTGAACGACATATTACTGATTTTTCGAAACTCAATGTTTTGGTTTTGAAAAAGACTTATGGCAGTTTCCATTTAAATTTGATATGCAATCAAAAACAGAAGAAAATGGGAAAAAATTCGCTAAAAATTGTTTTTTTTCATTTGTTCAAAAAATGTCTCAATTTCACTTTTTTGAAATTGCATGAAAAATTGAAAATTTTTATAATTTAAACTTTGTAATTATTGTATACTTACCAACTTACCTTTTACTCCACCTGAAAATACGATTTTTACAATAATTACAAAGTGAAATTAAAAAATCTCAATATCACCTATTTTGGCGAAAAAAAATAGCAATTAACGAGTGAAAGGCATGTTTCTGCAAGAATTCAGCGATTTTTTATTCTGCCATAACTCTTTTTCACAAAAAACATCGAAGGAATAATCGAAAAACCAGAAATGTAGGCTCGAATTGACGAAAAATTGACAAAGTTGCCGGTGTGGATTTACGGTAAACAATGGGCGCATCCGGGATTTCGGAGTGTTGTAGTCGGCCTACCGTATCAGACCCATATCGCACACATCGCCCACCCACCCAGAATCCATCTAGGATACGCGCGCATTCGGAACACTCGATTCAGCCTCTCCCGCATCGCACACATATGACTCATCGCAGCTCGTTGTTCGCGATATGTGTCAAACGGACTTCTAGAGGATCGCATATGGATCGGGTCCTATATGCGCATCATCGCCCAGGACCTGTGTGCGGCGCCGCTACCGACTGAGCTACACGGGCAAAGAGAAAGCGGTCGCCCGATTGCATACATAAAGGTGAGGACGACCGCTGTACGCAGAGTGACATTAAGCGTTGTACACCGTCACGATAGAATGCATACTCTAGCTACAAAAAAACTACGAAAAATCTCCTGTCCCCCCACCTTTAATTACTTTAAAAATAAATTTATTCACTAGTACTAAACAGAGAGCTTCAATAATCCACTAATTTCACCATTCCATTTCCAAGTAAGACTTCAAAAACTTCTCGTGGATCTCAGTGAAGATCATGTCACAGTGGCGGATTTCATAGCGAAGCATCTGAAATTATTCCAATGAAAATCTAGTTTGGAACCTTCATCTATACATCACGCTCATCATCTACATCACTCTTTTGACCCTTCAATTTGTCGAATTCTCCACAAATTTTATCAATCAAATCGAATTTTGAATCGATGAGATGAATGAGTTCTCCCTCCAAAACACAGCGATGTCCAAGAGGAATTTTACGCTGCTGTAAATTTTCAGAATACTGTAATCCATAGAAATGAGACCTACACAATGCTCCTCCCAAATTTCAAGTCCTTGAGCGGCCTTATCCAAAAGTTCAGTGAGAATCTCAAATCTATCTTCCTCAAGACTTCGATCCTCTCTTGGAAGAGCCCAAAGGGTCCGTTCGATACGTTTGATGCGTCTTTCGAATTCCACGAAACGGCGAGCCAAGTCAGGGATATACTTACGAGCAATCGAGTCGGGGATCTGGAAAAAATGCTTCTGAAATTCTTCCATAGCTCAGATTTTCCAAAAAGACTACCATAAAACCTGTAATAGAAGGGCCCGACACACTGCCAATTTTGAGCCTCTGTATCTCGATTCTTGTGAAAGACATCAAGAAATGGCTTGCTGATAAAATGTTTTTGATATTATGATAAACAATTCATCAGTTGACAACTTCTTTATATCTTTGACAGAAGTCGAGACAGGATGGCTCAAAGTTGATATCAGTATAATACCTCCTTCATATTCTTATAAACGGTTGCTGCATTCTTTTTCTTCAAATCCTCATAGAACTCTGGCTCCCCCCCTTCCGCCGGTTGATCCAATCCCAACTCGATAACCATTTCGTGAAGTGGAAAATCGTGAGCTTCTGGAACGCCTTCTGGCGATGGAGCACGTTTGGCAATCTCCGCATCCAGAAGTCTCTGCTCCTCATCCGATAAAGGGGGAATTATTGCATACTTCTAAATATCCAGAAACCCTCTTTTTTATTCTAATCTACTTTTCTCACCCCATCTTTAATATCTTTGTCAATTGCTTCGGCTCTTTTCAAGATTCCATCGAAATCAAGATTGGAAAGCTGCTCGCTGATGACGTTTTCCATAGCTTCAGTCATTTTAACTGATACTGTGTTCAGTTGTCTTTTACTTTTTGCCATCTTCCTGTCATCTGGATGTCCTGGACACCTGGTTTCGTCTTAATGTCACGCAAAAATCAACAATTGTTCACATTTGAACTCCCGCCAATTGCCCATGTGAGGCATCACTGAGCGCAGAAGAGACGCAGAAACGAAAAAAGTAAACGCGCTCCGTCGCACAATCGAGCGGAGCGCAAAATTTTAAACTATGCGAAGCCATGTGAAGCTTTTTATGGCTTTTTTGTTAAAATTTCTATGATAAAACCTAATTTGAAAACATTTTCCAGGAACTCAGAAGTACTCGCGACCTGATTCGACAATTGACGGACACGTCTCTTGTCGGGTTTTCTCATTTTCTACTCGTTTTACTTGTCTAAAATGGAAAACGCAATAGCATCGGCGGTTTCGGATAATGTTTCTCCGGAAGAAGAGGAAATTTCAGAACCTGTAACATCAGTGGAATCTGAGAAATGTCCAGTAGAAATGGTTTCTCAAGAGTCTTCCTCTGAGGGGACGATTTCAAAGCACGAAGAAAAGAAAAAAGATGATCCGAAACCTTCAGTAGCTCAGAAAAAGAAGTATTCCCGATAATCAAACTTAAATCGTTAATCCTTTACCGTTTCTAGACCTTCTCGACGCCGTTCATCTATTGGTATGCAGCTAATGAGTACATTTCTCGCTCCCGGAACAGAAGAAATAATGAGTCCAGTAGAGCCAAGAGTTCGACCAAAGAGAAATATCCCTGTAAGACCACCGCCGGCACCTGTAGCGCCAGTGAAAAAAGTGAAGCCGGTGGAAGTTCGTTACTCGGTAAGAGCGATAAAACAATTGTTCTTTTAATTTCCTCTCTCAGTTCGATCTCGGCGAAAGAAAAGAAACCAAATCTTGTCTGAAGACGACTACCTGGCCAATACTCATCGGTAAAGGAACTATCGTTCCCAAACCGAAATCGCGAACTCAAATGGCGGCTAGTAAAGTCAAAGAAAAGTACCGAAACAGTGCGAATTTCGGAGAAGCCACTCCCATCCGTAGACCATCAAAACTCAAGTTTCACAATATATGTTCTATACGAGTTATGACTCCTCGCGCAGATTATGTGAGTTGTTCGCTCTGGCTAGAAGTACTGAAACAGTTGGTTTCAGGATCCTGAACGGCTGCAAATGGGATCGCCAGAAGGTTACGATGCTTTTCGAGAGCGTCTCAGCACTGTCGAGTTACAATTAACACCACAATCGGAGGCAATGGTAAGATCACTAAGCTAGTTTGCATTAAAAAAATATTCAGCTGGACGAAATGAGAGAGACTGGTGTAGTTCAAGTCAACGCACAAATGGTGTTTGGTGATTCTGATACAATGGCCACGGAGTCATCTTCAGATGCGAACAACACTGCCGTGGAAGACGTTGCATTTGTCGAGGAGGCTGAGAAAGAACCAGACGTGTTTGTTGAAAAGAAGAAGGCATCTAGAAGGAAGTCAGTTATGCTCGGTTCCGCTGCTCCTTTAAAATCTCCCGCGAAGATTGAACAAGCACGGGACGACGACATCGTTGAAGTATCCAGTGAACCGTCTGTATGAAAATAAATCCCTTGACTTACATGCCTTATTTTGAATATTTCCAGACTTCTTCTTCTTCTTCTCGGAAGTCCCGTAGATCCGTCCGATTGAATCCAGATGCGATAGAAAAGCCAGACGAGAAGGACGTTATTTTGTATGAGAAAGAAAAGGAACCGAAGAAGAAACGAGACCGGGATGTTCCCGTTGATGGTCCAGTCGAACCGAATCCGAAAAGAAGTCGACGAAGATCTGCCTATATCAAGCCGGACGAAGAGGTGACAGTCGACATGGATGTTGGAAAAGAAAAGAAGAACACCACGATTGCCGCTTTTTTCTCTCCAAAACATCCAAAGAAGACGGAGGAGAAGGTTTTGGAAGCTGAAAAAGAGCGAAAATCCTCTCGAAGGTCTTCTGCATATTTTGGAACAGCGAGAGTTTCCAAGGAGAAGTTTGTTCAGGAGCTTGATGAAGACGTGGAAATCGTTGAAGATCCCACGCCTTTAACGTCTTCTGTGATTGCAAGATTTTCCTCATCTTCCTCCTCATCGTCCGGTTCTACTCTGAAAATCGAAGAAGACTCATCTGCACCACCTCCAACTTCTCTGAAACTTGCATCTATTTTTGAGAAGCCTTCAGCTCAAATAGCAAGAGTCGCTGAAGTTAAAGATAACAAGGTTGCTAATTTAGAACTTTTTTAGTGAAAAAATATCAATTTCAGATATCCACACCGACATCCAGCCCATCAAGTACAAAGTTCTTTTCAATGTTCTCACCGAAACCAAAGCCAAAAGTTGTCTCTGAATCATCATCGGACACCATAACTGTTTCGGATAGTCCTATGGTCCAAAGAAAGCCAAAATCGGCAGGTGTACAACGAAAGGAACACTGGGGTGATAGGCATCCTGAAAGCTACGAGTTCGTTCTGAAAATGGCTCCAGAATCGAGCATTCTGGAAGAAGAAATAATCGATGAAGACATATTCAAATCAAGAATTGTCGAAGATGATGTTTTAAGTGTTGGTTTAAAAGTTGAATCAGACCTACGTGAAGTAGAACAAGAGCAAGCAGATTTTCTGATAGCTACACCGCCTGAGGAAATAACTATTGAGAAACTAAGCGTCCCTGAAAAGTGCTGTCCTTCTACAGTGTTCCCATCCGATATGGATCATTTAGTAGAAGGAGCAGAAGAGAAAGAATTGATTTGCGGATGGTTGAAAAGATGGAAAAAACGAGTGAGAAAAGAATGGGAACGAGAACTGGCGACTAAGAAACAGAAGCAGAAGCACGAAGGAAGACGAGGAAGAAAGAGAAAGGATTCAGAAGATTCAGGAGATGAGTTTGAATTGGATGCAAGAGATGATGATCTGGAGAATCCTTTAGTGTTGATTGGTCCAACCGGTGTAGGAAAGACTGCTTTGGTATGAATTTAATGAATCAAAACTGAAAAAAAAAACTAAACTTTTTTCCAGATCCGAGCGCTCGCAAAACAATCAAACATGCGAATAATCTCAATTGGTCCCGACGAAGAACGATCCGGAGCGGAGATCAAAAAGAAACTTCAAGAGGCGATTCGATCACATCGTGTTGACCAACAGCCAGATCGGAGAATTTCAATGTTTTACAAAACAGTCACTGATTCTAGCTTTAACCCAAAAAATTCAACGCCGAAAGAATTTGTACAGAGTTTGGTAGTTTTCGAGCACGTCGATGTCTTTTTCGAAAAACTCGATCGTTATGGGCCCAACGGGCTGCTGGAGATTGTCAACGATTCGTCTGTACCTGTGATCTTCACTTGTGAAAATGATTGGCCGCGAAAAACTGCGCAAGTAGAGTTGAGACGCAGATTTTTTGAAGTTCGAATGGGAAGAAACGAGGTGAAGATTCAAAAATATGTTCAGGTGAGTATTCTAGATGTATCTGTCATGATATTTTAAAGTTTTTTTTTCAGAAATTAATATATTCCTGCCGAAACGTCTTCTTGGATGATTCTACAATCCAAAAACTATCCACGTCTGTGAATCACGATCTTCAATCACTGATCCGTCAAGCTCATCTCTTCTCGTTGGTCCCGACTCTACCATTTCCTATCACTTCTCGATTTCTCACTTCAACTGGTTTTGAACAAGATTGGGAAAGACCAAGAGAGGCATTATCAAAGAAAGATGAACGACTGGAAGAAGCGATAGAACAACATGGAGACGTGCTTCCTGATGGAATCGTTAAAATACATCACCCAAAGAAAGAGAAACTCTGGGACGCGGATGGCAGAAAATTGGCTCGAAAACAGTCGGAATGTTTGGAAAGTGTTCAAAATGCGTTTGAGGCATTGCATGGAAGATACTCTCGAAAAAGTTTAGTACAAGATGTGCTTCCGCTACTTGTTCCAATTGATCGGGTCGAGCGTCAGAAGCGAGCAGTATCCAGAAGACATCTGCATCGTTTCAAGGTACTTTCGGATGTTCCGATCGACGGAGATGCGTTGATTGAAGTCGTCGGTGGTTGGAGCATCAGTGGTCGTCATTAAACTGGTTTTCAATGTGCATTCAAACTGTCATTTCAACTGAAAAATTACTAATTGATTCATTGATCTTCCGCTTTTACTGTAAAATATTTATGATATCATTCCTTCATCTTTTGGACTGAACTTTGATAAATGTCTAATGAATATTGACAAGGTGTTGATCTTGTTTTTAGGATATAATCTCCGTTCAGGCAAAAGAGCTGTACACGATGTGTCGAAACGCCGAATTTGCAGAGCGAAAGATAAAAGGCCAGCGTTTGACAAGCGGAAAATCCATTGAAAATATTGGAAAATGCAGAAAAAGGACTAAAAATCGGGAAATTTGAGAAATTCGCTGATAATATTTAGTATTTAGTAGCAGGACCAAACTGTGGTTTATAAATTTCCGACCAAAATTCGTTAATGAAAGACAGGAAAACAATGTACTTGAAAAGAAAATCAGGCCAAAAAGGCGAAATTCGATGATTTTAAGCGAACTTTTTGCATTTAACTGATATCGGAGACGCTTATTCTATTCAGATTTAAGCGAGAAGATATTGAAAACACTGAAAAAGGACAAAATCAGAAGAACAAGCCTGAAAATTCAAAAATTGAGGATTCCTTTGAAATTAATGGCTTTTCAACGGGATTAAAGTGTGCTCCGGGTTTCTGATGGCGTGTAATTTGTTTCTATGCTTTATTCTTCCGAAAATTGTAAGAAGAAAGCTTGAAAATTGATTAAATAAGCGAAAAAACGGGAGAAAACAGTGCGGAGGAGTGTTTGTAACACAAAGTATGGTGGGCGGCGTAAGTCGCGAGATGTCGGCTGCTACGAAACACCTCCTTTTATAAGCGCGCGCGTTTCAGGAGGTTTTCGGTTGAAATCATGTTTCGCTGAAAGACTCTCGATGATCTCCATCGCCACTAACGTGGTGGCAGGGGTAGTAGGGGGCAGGTGCCAGGCGCCCCTCTGTGGTCTTTCTGGATTCGTGAGGGAAGCCCCCGAGATCTACCATGGGATGTTCCCGGGTTCTTTCTGAGGAGTGTGAAGCGGAGGCTGGAAAAGTTCGAGTGAACCGAGGGGTTTTGTCGTTTTTCGTGTCCGCCCGCGTTCGTGTCCGCCCGCGTTCGTGTCCGCCCGCGTTCGTGTCCGCCCGCGTTCGTGTCCGCCCGCGTTCGTGTTCGCCCGCGTTCGTGTCCGCCCGCGTTCGTGTCCGCCCGCCCGTTCATCCGTCCATCCATCCGTCCATCCATCCGTCCATCCATCCGTCCATCCATCCGTCCATCCATCCGTCCATCCATCCGTCCATCCATCCGTCCATCCATCCGTCCATCCATCCGTCCATCCATCCGTCCATCCATCCGTCCATCCTTGATTTGTCAGTCTGTATTGTCAGTCTGATCGGTTAAGACGCGGCGTGGGTGTCGGAGGTAGTTGTGGGAGCGTGGGAAAACGGGCAAAATCACGAATGCCGACCGATGAACACCTGGTCGAAACTATTTTTCGGTCTCAAAAATCTGGGAATTCCGATTATTGGAATTATTATCGGAGTTTATAGGGTGGGATTATTCGGAATTCTCGGAATTCTCGTAATTCTCTGGAATTTATGGGAACTTAGGAATTATTGGAACTATTACTGAACTTTTTGGAATTCTCGGAATTGCGATCATTGCGATTGAAAGTATGGGAATCGTGAAAATTTATGAGAATCTCGATTAAAACGGGATTTATTTCCTGAAAAAATTGAATCAAGTAATAACAGGTTCCGTTTCAATAATTTGATCTGCTGAAAACAAATTAGGACAAGCTGCAAAAATGACAAAAGTGGTTCCAAATATCAATCCAGTGAATAGAAAAAGGGAAGCCCGATCGATGACCATTGCCATGAATCTCCAGTTTAGAATCTCTTCTTCCTCTTCTTCATCATCATCTAATTTTGCCTGAAATCAAAAAAAGAAAAATTTTAAAATCATTCAAAATTAACTCCTACTTTAAAAACTTTTAGATAACCAATCACTTCTTCTAGATATGGAATCGTAGAATCCATTACGATTTGGCTATTCACTAGAAGACGTGGGCGTTGTTGTTTTTGGGAGATCAACTCGCTTTCTTCTTCTTTTCCTCCTGCATTCGATTCCTCATCTTCTTCTTCTTCTTTCTTTTTCTCTCTTTTAGGTTTTCTGAAGACGTGATCCGGACGGCTCATTAGAAGAAACCAAGGGAGCCATTCTAGAAAAATGTATCTGGTCTGAAAAAAGAAAAAAAACATTTTTCAGTCAAAATCTTCTGAAATACCCAATCTCCCATTCTATGCATCTTTGGATGTCTATAGAAAATATTAACAGTGATAAGAGAGACACAAATCGAAACTCCTAGAATCACAATAGCAAATGAGAAGAATGCAGCAATGATTGGAATGGATTCAGAAGTGGGCGGAGCTACTTCAGACACCATTGCCAGGAACACCATAATAGAGAGGAAATTGGTGATTTCTGAAACTACAGTAATCCTTTTACAACAACAAAAAATCAGCCTTACGCAATGTAACTTTTTCGCCGCACTCCACGGGCATTGTAAATCCTAGAATGTTACTCAAAGAAATTAAAATTGATGGAATGATCCAGTTGAGTCCATAATACATTGTCCTTCGTTTCAGATGCATATGAAAATACAACTCCACGTATGTCTCATCTAGAAAAGTCGTCGATTTTCTAAATGCTGGAGTAGAGATCAAATCGAATTCTCCATTGGGGACATAGTACTGTAGATCCATTTTATGACCCTCTGGAAGATCAGCATCGTCTATCCGAAGGTCTAGTTTCTTGCCATATGTCCAGGATCCGAACTGAAATTTGAATTTGAAGTTGAAAACTTAATTCGTTTTTTGAAAAAATCGGAGCTTTTGGAGGAAGGTCCGACAACGAAAACTACAGTAACCTAAAATTTTTCCGTATTCATTTTCTCAATTCTCACTGATTTTCGTCGAGTTTTCAGTTATTTTCCCCCAAAAAAATTGGAAAATTGAAGTTTTTGATAGTAAAAATAGGGAAAAAAATTCAGAAAATGTGAAAAAATTGGGTACTTCGCTTTTTTTGCAAAATTTTCAGACCTTTTTAGGGTTTTCAGCTATTTTGTTGATTCTTTTCTGCTATTTCCGAATTTTGTTGTCTGAAATTTGACAGATGGTTTTCTGGACGGAAGATTACTGTAGATTACTGTAGAAAATCTTGTAGTTTGTAGTTTTTTTCTGCAAGCAAAACTTATCCGCATTTTGACGTGTTTGTGTTTACAGAAAAAATAAAAAGAAAGTTAGGTTTCTACAGTAATCTACAGTAATCTACAGTAATCAAAACAACGTTCCATCAAATATCAGACAAAAAAATTCGGAAGAATCGGAAAAGAGTCTTTGAAAATAGCTGGAAAAATCAAAAAGGTCTAAATTTTTTCACAAAAAGTTGAAGAAAAATAAGTTTTTCTCTCGAAAAATCGCTAAATTTTTCGACCAAAAAATTTTCAAATGTTTCTTTTTAGTGGAAAAAACACAGAACAATTGACAAAAGGCAGTGAAAAACAAGAAAATAACTCTGAAATTAAAAATAAAAATTTTTAGGTTACTGTAGTTGTCGCTGTGGGACTTCGGTCGCCGGCAACTCTCTTCCAGGGCTCCGATCATTTTGTGAAAAATTTTTTCTTTAATAGAAGCCAACTTAACTTTGAGCTTGTATATCTCGGTTCCTTTGAAAGATATAAAAGAGTGATCAGCTAACAAATTGCTTATCATAATATCAAAAACATTTTATCAGTTGACAAAGTTTTGATATCTTTCTCAGGAATCGATATAATTGAGCTCAAAGTTTGAGGTTTCTTCTATTAAAGGAAATACAGTTATACTTTTTTTAACACCTACTTTCAGATAACAAACTTGTTCATCATATGGGAACCAGGTCATTGAAAGAGAGCATGAAAACTGCATAATGCCTGAAAAATTAAAACAATTCAGAATTTGAAAAAAAAACTTCGAAAACCTGGTGGCGCAAACAGGACATTCCCATCATTGGAAACTACCATATTCACCGGAAAACTTGAATCAAAATGTTCATTTGCACTATTAAACAACAGAATATCTGGTTTCCAAAGTGTTCCAAACGGAATCTGAAGACTTGTGATGTTACCGTACTCTTCTGGAGACCATTTCATTTTGTAGTCGTTCCACGTATACTGTGTCCACACTACCAGAGTTATCACTTGATTTTTCTCATCAACGTCTACTAGTTGCTGAAGAATCAAACGGAGTTTTACGTTTACAGGTTTCATATGATCAGAAACTGGACGCTCCATTGGATCGTATCTGAATTATGCTGGTACAAAAAACCCGGAGATGTCGGCGAAGGTCCCACAACGAAAACTACAGTAACCAAAAAATATTTAAAATTTCCGGATTTATTTTCTCTGTTTTCGAATTTCGAGAGAATTTTTTTGGATTTTCGAGAAGAAAATTGATTTTTTCTCAGATTTTTTTTGCAAAATTTGTTGACCTTTTTAGAGTTTTCAGCTATTTTTAAAGCTTCTTCTTCTTCGGTTTTTTTTCGAATTTATTGACTGAAATTTGATGGAACGTTGTTTTGCTGTAGATTACTGTAGAAAATATTGTATTTTGTGGTTTTTTGCAAACAAAATCAAAATGCAGGCAAAAGAGATTGTGTTTGCAAAAAAGTAAAAAAAAAACCAAAAATTTTTATTGCATCAAAATGTGTTAAAATTTATCTATTTTCAGAATATTATTGCGAAAAAATTCGAAGAAAATCCGAAATCCCCAAAAAACGCCGTTGAAAAGGAAAAAAATCCAAAAAAGGTGCCGCCGAGGGACGAGGATTTTCAGTGAGACCCCTAGGCCACGCGAGCGGCGCGACTTTCTTACCGTACAAATTTTCAGGATTTTTCTCGCTTTTATCTCCGACAGGTAAAAAACATTAAAAAACACTGTCGGCCACTTGAAAATAATGCTGTCAGGCGCCGTGGCCTAGGTTTCTCACTGCGCGGGAATTCAAATCCTCGTCCCCCGGCGGCACCTTTTTTGAATTTTTTTCATTTTCAACAGCGTTTTTTGGGGATTTCGGATTTCTTTTGAATTTTTTCGCAATAATATTAGGAAAATGTTAACAGATAAATGTTAACACATTTTAATGCAATAAAAATTTTTGGTGGAGTCCCCCTTTAAGTTTCCAACATTTTTTTGGGATAAAAAACTGACAAATTTGCGAAAATTAGTTCAAAACCAGAAAATAAGTCCTGAAAATAATAATATTTTAGGTTACTGTAGTTGTCGTTGTGGGACCTCCCTTCTCACCCTTCTCTCAAATCCTTCAACAGTCTATACTCGTCATCACTCGTATCTGCTAGATTCAAAAACAGTAAAATATATAGAATCTGTAGTAGTAAAAACATCTTCGTTCAACTGTAACAATTTTAGTGTAGCAATTTTAGGTCGAGGTGTGAAATGGGGATACCCACTTGAGATTTTTGTGCCGAATAACACAAATAGTCGAAGAATGTCGCTATTAGGGATAGAACTAAAGAAGAAACTGAAGAGTTAGATTGATTTTTGTTAGTTGTTTGATAGCGATTAACATTGTGCACTTTTCCGATTAGCGGTGTCATCAATAGTCAAACAAATATTGGAAATTTATTTACTACCGGAGCCTGGGAAAGTTTGCGATTGTTTTTTGAAATGGAATTTCAATTGAATACTGGTTCTCAGATATTCGAGCTTCTTGTTCATTTTGTTTCAGCCACAGAATAAGTAAATTGTTACCCGAACTATGGCTTTTAATCCAATGCATCTTTCATCATAGATGAACTCTTTAAATTAAAATTTTCTTTTTATGTTGTTTGTAAAAAAATGTCTTTTATTTGTTCTGTTTTCGCTTTCTTGTGAAATTCTGAAAATTATTTTTATTTCTTTATTTTTTTCCGATTTCCGCAATTTGCTGGCGCGGTGTGCGCACCAAAAACAGCACACCTGACGACAACGGGCCTATTTGCCGATTTTCGAATACATTTTCCCCTTCTTATTTCTACAAAATATTCTGTGTCAGCTATGGGAAGAGAACACAAAAAACATAAAAAAGACCGGTAAGTTTTAATTATTATTTGAGAACAAGTTTTTGAAAACGGTATTCTTTCAGAAAACGACATCGTTCGCGCTCGAGGTCTTCAACGACAGATTCTGATGATGAGCGAAGATTTGAAGCCAAGGGAAAAGAACAGAAAAGACATAAAAAGGACAAGTAAGTTTTGGTCTATATTTAAAAACATTTTTATAACGATGCAGAAAAAGACGTCGTTCTCCTTCGAGGTCTTCATCGGCAGATTCATCAGATGAGGAGAGAAGATTTGATGTAAGTTTTTTTATTGTTCAATAAATTTGATCGTTTCCCGATTTCAGAAAAATCTTGAAGAGCAAAGACAACTCAAAAAGGCTCAACTACGTCGTCAAAAAGAAGAAATGAAGGCAAAAGAGACGCCCGAGGAAAAGAAGGCTCGTCGAATGGCAAAAAAGATGCAGAAAGATGAAAAAAGAAGAGCGGCAGAAGCAGAGGACACTTTGATTCCACCTGAACTCAATTATACAAATCTCAACAATCCGTTCAACGACACGAAGCTCACTACAACATTCGTTTGGGGCAAAAAGTTGGAGAAAGAAGGAAGAAGTGGACTAACGCAGGATCAAATAACTAAAGAGTAAGTTGATAAAATCCTTTCAAAATCTAGAAAAAAAAAGAAAATTTTCAGAGCGAGCCAGAGAATTCGAAAAAATCTAACTGAAGCTGCAGAATTCAAGCGCATTCGTGATTCACGAGCCGCTGTCAAGGAGGATATGGAAATGATGAAACGAGATGCAGATCTACGTGCTAGTCAGAAAACCGATTCAAAGGAACGCGAATTTCAACTGGACCAAGTCAAAGAGAGAACCCGAATTCGTATTGATCAGGGAAGGGCCAAAGCCATCGATCTGCTTTCTCGCTATATTCGATACGCAGGAGAAAATTTTAGCCCAACTGCTAGTCCTGATTTTGAGCTCGTGAATCCTATTGAATACATTCGAACTACATGTAAATCTATAGATGATTTCGAGGATTTGCTAGAGGATATCAGTACTTATCGAGAACTGGATGGACGGGAGAGACACGAAGTATGGTGGAATGATGTGACGCAAGTGGTTGAAGACGAGATGAAAAAGAAGAATTCACAACGGAGAGGCGAAGTTCATTCCATACTTGATAAAGATGTTATTGAGTCATTTAAGGTGAGCAGTTTTAAATATAAAAATTTTATTCTACTACAAAAAGAGAGAAATTCACTGTATCCATTCTCTAATTAGCACTGTCTTCTTCTTCTACGGGCTCTTCTTCCTCCGGAATCGTTGGTATCTCATCATCACGACACATCACAAAACGAGGGATCTCATCCGGAGTTGGCTCACGCTCAAAGTCCATATTCTCCTCGTAGTCGATGATTCCTCCGACGTCTTTGTAGATTTGTTCTGTCAACTCGGACAGTTTTGTGTATTCCTCCTCGCTAACCGAATGATCTTCGGAGAATACAATTTCAGCGATTTCGTGGAACACTTTTGGCAACTCAAGGAATTCCTTGCTAGTGCGAAACTCCTTTTTCTCTCTCCAGCTTCCGAACGACGTAATGCTTTCCATGGCAAGTCTCCAATAGCCAAATGGCACATTTGATAGAACCACGATTCAAGATCCTGGCGAGCACCAACGTTTCCATTAGAATGATGAGCGAGTGGTGCGTAGTCCAAAGTTCCAGAATAAGTAGCCGTTGGAGATCCATTTTCCGTAGTAACGTTCTTCACAAGAGAAGAAATATCCGCCATGAAAAGGTGACGACTGGCGGCGTCGTAGTGGAAACAGTCCAAATCAACATTACGGAGAAGAGATCCGTGTTTGTGAGCACAGCGAATGATCTGAAATTGATTTCATAAAATGTGATAAAAGTCTGAGAAATCCAGATGAACACCTACATTCAACACATCTGATGACAGACGACCGACTGTTCCGAATGTGAACTTGTTGCGAAGCTCAAAACACTGCTCCAGAGTCGGTCCTCCGCGGAAGTAGAGTGTCATATGAAACGCGTCATCGGTCATAAAAATCTTATGGACCTGAGAGAAGTGACGCCAATCCTGGAGTTCGGTTTCCACTTTGCACAAGAATCCCGCTTCGGCGCGAACGACATGAGGAATCGTATCGATAGGGGCCACACGGATAACCAGTTCTTTGTCGTCGGCTCCCAATCCCAAAAAGGTGCCGCCAACTTTGTCATTGAAGCCAATCCTTTCGAAAACCTAGAATTTTCTATTTTTTGGATTTTCGGAATTGTTGAAATTTCTGAAAATTTTGGAGTTTTGAAATTTTTTCTTTTTTGAATTTTAGTTTTTCGGAAATTTTGATTTATTGGGATTTCCGAAATTTGTTAACTTTCAGAAGTTTGAAAATTCTCAGTTTTTGGACTTTTTAAAAAGATTTCCGGAGTTTTGAGGATTCTTTTAAAGTTGTTTCAATATGGGAAAACCCTTATGCGCTTTTACCTAATGATATTCTGTCGGTCAAATTTTTCATTTCAGAGCCTGGTTGATTTTCGACCAGTCTGACCATTGCTAGGAGTCTGGACCTTGGCTGACAAGTTTCCGATGTCTTTGGAAGTTTTGGAGGTTATAAAACAGACCTAGATTGGAACCTCTGCATTCTTGAAACCTTACTTTGACTTGTCCGTCGATGACATGATCCGGTTGATAGCAAGGAATACCGTTCACGATCTCATATTCAACATGATTTGCATCAAGAATTTCCGAATTCTTAACACTTGGCGGAGGAAGAGCCGGTCCTACGAGATGTGGCTCGTCGGCGATCGTATTTTGAAGCTCCATATTTCTCTTCTAGTTCTCTTTTAGTTTGGCTGAAACTGAGTAGTCTGCTGCGTCGTATGAGCCACGTTAACTCGCTGAAATTCAGGTCACCCACGTAGAAGTAGGATGACGCCAATAACCTCATTTAAAAATCTAATTTAAATAATAATCTCCCTTTTTTCAGGATCAGTCTATCAGCCAACTCGAAGCTTTGGAAATTAAAATTGCCGGCAGACTGCGAGATCAAAGCAACAAAGAATTCTGGCTGGACATGGAGCATCAGTGTAAATCTTTCCTCTCTCGGAAACGACTTCGTGAGAATCACAATAAAGTCATGCGTAACCAGCTGCTAAGAATTCGTGAAGATAATAGACGAGACATTCAGTCAGCCACGGAGAATATGCCAATAATGATGGAGACTCCTCAAGTTAAAAGAATCAAAAGTGAAGAAGATGAAGAAGAGGATGACGATGACGATGAGAAGCTGTCGAAGAAGGTTAGAAGGAAGATTGATGTGAAATCGTTGGATGATCCAGAACTTGATGAGCAAGAAAGGGAGAGAAAATGGAGAGCTCTGACTGAGGATCAGTTGGAAGACGTCACTCTAGAACTATACCGTTTAGGATCATTCAGTCCACCGTATAACAGTTTCGACGACACTATGCCTGGAATCGAAGTGGTTGACGCTCAATCGGACATGGAGAGCTTGATGGCGAAACGGAGTAGAAATCGTGGAGAAGTTCCAACGTCTTCTGCTGAAGCTTCTTCTGCTCCTGACTCCAGAATGTTGGCTATTGCTCGTCAAGGAATGGAGGGAGATGAATCAATGTTCTCTGTGGAAGAGCAGCTTGAGACCCAGAAACATTTGTGGTCCGACAAGTATCGTCCGCGTAAACCGACATATTTGAACCGCGTCCAAACTGGTTTCGACTGGAACAAGTACAATCAGACTCACTACGATCAGGACAATCCGCCGCCAAAGATTGTGCAGGGATACAAGTTTAATGTAAGTGGATTTTTAAAGGATCATCAGATTCCAAAAGTTCATTTTTTTCAGATCTTCTATCCGGATCTACTGGATGTCACTCAAACACCAACGTTCACCATCACCCCATGCGACGATAAGGACTTTGCCATCATACGCTTCAAGTCAGGACCTCCATACGAAGATATTGCGTTCAAAGTTGTAAATCGCGAATGGGAGACTCTTCACAAGAACGGATACAAGTGTCAGTTCCAGAATGGCGTCTTTCAGCTGTGGTTCATGTTCAAGAAGTATCGTTATCGTCGTTAATTTATTATGTTTTTCTAATAAACTATTTTTGTTATTATTCAATTAAAATTGAAATATAGGAGTTGTCTGCAACAAAAAAAATATTTTTGAAAATTACCGACAATGTCTTCTAGCATATATAACGTGTTTCAGAATAATGCGAGAGCTTGCCTCTCGTGTAATACTAGGCCTCTTCTCGGTCAACAATGCCGGGTTTAATGCGATGTCTGCGATTTTGATGATCGTCGAAGCGGTTCTTTCACATCTTGTGATTCTTAAAGTGAAATGTAAGAACGGTTAATTATTCTGAAGATTTTTGAGCTCAAAAATGGAATTTTTTAGCATTTTCTATTAGATTCTGGAGCCAGAATTTCGAGAGAAAAAATTTATTTTTCTTCGATGTTTCGGGAATTTTTTAGACCTTTTCCAGCTATTTTCGAAGATTCTTTTTCGATGTTTCCGAATTTTTTTTTGTTCTGCAATTTGATGGAACGGTGTTTTGATTACTGTAGATTACTGTAGAAACCAGAGATGTCCGGATTCCGGATTCCGGGCATTTTTCATTTGTCCGGATTCCGTATTCCGAAAAATTTTTTTTATTCCGGATTTCAAGCATATTTGTTAATTTGCAAGGATTCTCTGACTTTTTTGAACTTCAGCGACTAAAAATGCAAAAGTATAGCATAACATGTATTTTTAGAACTTTTCTGCCCGTTAGGAGAACTCAACATTTCTGATTTCCGTATTCCGGATTTCGGCCTTTTTTCATTCCGGATTCCGGATTCCGAGAAAATGATCTTATTCCGGATTCCGGATTCCGTTTCTCAAAAAAGTCATTCCATCTCTGGTAAAAACCTGATTTCTTTTTCTATTTTTTGTGCAAACACAATCACGTCAAAATGCAGATAAACTTTGCTTGCAAAAAAAATTTCAAAATACAAGGTTTTCTACAGTATTCTACAGTAATCCAAAACATCATCCCATCAAATTTCAGCCAAAAAACCGGAAAAATCGAAAAAAAAACCTTTAAAAATTTCTGAAAAATCTATAAAGGTCAACAAATTTTGCTAAAAATCAAAGAAAAAAATCTTTCTCTCGAAAGTTTTGCGATTTTAACTTCGAATTTCCAAAAAAAATTGTTTTGAATTCAAAAATAAATGAATTTCTCCTCGAAAATGCCTATTCTTGACCCCAAAATTCGCAGTTTTGACGTCTGAAATGCCATTTTTCTACCTAGAAATTTCTATTTAGCTATCCGATAACTCCAATTTCGACCCCTAAAAAAAGCTCTATTTTTGACTTGAAAAGCAAAAAAAGGTCTAAAAATTTTGCAAAAAAAATCGAAGAAATCAATTTTTTTCTCGATTCTTGGGCACTTTTATTACTATTAAAAACTTTAATTTTCCCACTTTATTGGGGAAAATAACTGAAAACTCGGCGATAAGCAGTGAAAACGAGAAATAAACATTTATTTAGATTACTGTAGCTCCGATTTTTGTACCAGAATAATGTGAGCTCCAGACCATTTTTTAACTTTATTCAGACACCGAAATCGATTGGAGCACTTATATGCAACAAGTGGAATGTTATACGAATAAGGGAATTCTAAATTATACACGAATTGGCGGAGATACGGGACCAATCGTCTACCCGGGCGGTCATCTTTTCACCTACCGTATCCTCTATTTTCTGACAAGTTCTGGAAAGAATATTCGGTTGGCTCAACATATATTCCAAGTGTTTTATTTGTTCAATGTCTATATGGTGTTCCGAATTCTCAAGAAAACCAAACGTATTCCCCCGATCGTCTTGCTCTTTGTTACTGTAACTGGCTACCGTATCCATTCGATTTTCATGCTTCGCCTCTTCAACGATCCACTTGCAATGATGCTATTCTACGTGGCGATGGACCGGTTTTTGCATCAGAAATGGATTGTTGGCTGTGTATTCTACAGGTTAGCCTTCATACAATTCCGGCTCCTGGACGTTTCCGAACTTTTCTGCAATTTTTCCTAGTAGTTTTTGCACACCAAATGCAGGCCCTGATACTAAAAATTTGGTTGAAGAAATATCAGAAAAAGTGTGTCAAAAAATGTCACAAAAGCTAGACACCATAATTTAGAGGAAAATAGAAAACTAAACGAAATGTAAGCCAGGGTACTGCATAGGTATTTCGACGAAAACGACAATTTGGACTTTTCTTAGTCGAACAATTTGTTTTCTAATGAAACATGTGAAAAATTATTACTCATAGGAAACTGTAAAAATGTACTAATTAGCCAGACTTTTCGTCTGTTGATCCCTTTCGCCGCGTAGAGGCTCAGTGCGTGAAAGTGAATCTGGTTTTTACCTGGAAAAAACCTGACAAAAAACCACTGGCATCAGGATATGAGGGAGTGAGCCTATCATTATTTGGAGTACGGTAGATGATAACAAATAAAAAAGCAGAAAACGACAAATTGAAATGTGCAATACTCATTTGGTGTGCAAAAACCGATAGGCAAAAATGCAGAAAAGTCTGAAACATTGGGTTCTCAACCGTCGGGTTTTGAAACGTCGTGCTCTGAAATTTCGGGTTCTGAAAAGTCGTAGTTCTGAATCTTCTGGTTTTGTTATGCCAAGTTCTGAAACGTCGTAGTTCTGAACCGTCGGGCTTTGAAATGTCGGGTTCTGAAACGTCTAGGAGCCTCAAATTATAAATTTCAAAGCAAATTCGAATGTTTTCAGTTTCGCAGTTTCCATCAAGATGAATGTGCTTCTCTTCGCACCCGCATTGTTCTTCACTCTCATCCTTAACAACTATTTTATGCCAACAATGGGATATTTATCACTTTGTGCGTTGATTCAACTTTATGTTGGAGGCCCATTCTTGTTGCATGATTGGAAGTCATATGTGCAAAGATCATTCGATTTGGGACGAGTTTTCATGTTCAAATGGACCGTAAATTGGAGATTTCTGCCTGAAGATCTATTCTTGGATAAACGATTCCATATGGCTCTTCTTGTTGGACACATCACCTTTTTAGCAATTTTCGCTTACTATATGTGGTTCAGGTATCTTTTTTTTCGTACAAAAAACCGAGCTGAAGGTCTCACAACGATAACTACCGTAACCTAATACATCGTTTTTTACTGCTTTTCGTCGAGATTTCAGTTATTTTGCACCCAAAAAAGTCGGGTAATCAAAGTTTTTGATAGTGATAACGGACTCAAAAATCGAGAAAATAAATTGATTTTTTCCTTCAATTGTGTGCAAAATTTTTAGACCTTTTTAGGTTTTTCAGCAAATTTTGAAGATTATTTCTCGACTTTCCCGATTTTTTTGTCTGAAATATGATGGGATGGTGTTCTTGATTACTGTAGATTACTGTAGAAAACCTTGTATTTTGTAGTTTTTTTTGCAAGCAAAATTTATCTGCATTTTGACGCACGGTGAATAATTTGCGAAATTTGATTTTTTTTTCTGATTTCTTGGCGCTTTTCTCGATATAGTGGAAAATTAGCTTTTTCGCCATTTAAAAATTCTAGGTCGAAACTTTTGATTTCAAAATAGGTAACAATTATGAAGGTGAGGAAAACACACAAAATGAGCCTAAAAACGTCTGATTTGGTTGAGAAATGAATGAGGAGATACATTTTTCAGAAAATCAACTGAAAAATTCAATTTTTTGAGGTTTTTGCTGACCTGTTCGAATACCACTGATCGTATATTTTTTTTTAATTAGGTAACCTTTGTGCAGAATTTTCTAGGGAACATTTCTATATAAACTTTTCTCTGAAAAAATCAAAAATGAGGGAGGAGATAGGTTCAGAAGCAGTCAGATTACTGTAGATTTGTGTGAAAATAAAAAAAAATTTCATTTTTTTTTCCAAAATAGTTTGCTTGTTTATTCTGCGTGTTATTTATGGCGGGAAACTTTTGGCGTGGATTGTCGTGGAATGACCTAGAAAGGGGAGAATTGAGGGAAAAAGTGATGCCTAGAGTCTCAAATCCCTCAATAGGTCGGTTCACGAACAAATTATGTCCTTTTGAACTTTTTGAATTTTGGTTTTTTTGCCGATGCCCGAGAAACGCGTCAACAAAAACCAGCTGTGCACATTTCGTGATTTATTCACCGTGTGACGTGATTGTGTTGCAAAAAAAAACTACAAAAATAAATTAGGTTTCTACAGTAATCTTCAGTAATTCAAACAACGTTCTGTCGAAGTTCTGACAATAAAAAAAACCAGAAAACTCGAAAAAGAATCTTTGAAAATGGCTGAAAACCCTGAAAAGGTCTAAAAATTTCGCGAAAAATCGAAGAAAAATTGAGTTTCCCCTCAAAAGTTTTTGTGATTTTTGCATCGAAAATTCCAAAAAAAAAAGTAGTTTTGGCTTCTATTCTAGATCCAGTCCCCGATACCAGTGGTAAACATCTACTGATATTTTTTGTTACTTTTTGGCAAGACCCTTATATGTTTTTTACACCTACTGATATTTCGTCGGTCAAATTTTCAGTATCAGGGCCTGTTCTAGATCCCAAAAATCACAATTTTGACGTCTGAAATGCCATCTTTCGACCTCGAAATGCTATATTTCAATTCCCAAAATTCCTAGTTCGTGCTCAAAAAATCAAAAACTCTTTTTTGACATTTTTATAGAATTTTTCGAAATACATCCTCGATTTTTTTTCGTCAAGTTTTCTGTTATTTTCCCCAAAAAATTGAAAAATTAAAGTTTTTGATAGTAAAAAGTTAACAGAAATTGCACAGAAATCAAAAAAAAAGAAACATTTTTTAGGTTACGGACGCTGAAAAACCTGGAAAGGTCTAAAAATGTTCCAAAAAGCGAAGAAAAAATAACTAAAAATCCCTTAATTTTTTGGTTACTGTAGTTTTTGTTTCTTCCACAGCTCCAATTTTTTAACCAGGTTAATATTCGTCAATTACACTGAAATACGCTTTTCATATTTCAGACGTCTCAACGGTCTGCGACTATCCCTCTACCTCCGAGCTTTCGATGGAATCCTCACCAGCACCGGCCCCACTGACACCTTCTACGCTTTCTGCACATCCAATCTCATCGGAATCGCATTCTCTAGATCCCTTCATTATCAGTTCTACAGTTGGTACTTTCATCAGCTTCCATTTTTGCTATTCTGTGATTATCCTCATGTTAACTCTATTTCTAAAATCCCATGGAAACAATTCTTCTGGAAAGTTCCCCTACTTCTGGCTATCGAACTCTGCTGGAATGTCTACCCATCCACGTGGTGGTCTTCTGCACTTCTTCATATTTGCCACGTCATCATCTTCTGGCATCTGATTTCCACCCGAGTACAGAGACCAATAGATACAGTTTCATGGAGGACGTTTGACAAGATTCATGAAGAGCAGGAAATGCTAAAGAACTTGGTTGAAGAACACGATCAGGTTATTCCACCAACAGAACTTCCTGATTTTGTGGAAGATGATGATCAGGAGAAAATTAAAGAGTACAGAATGTCCAGGATGCCGGAAAGGAGAGAAAAATCAAAGAAGGAACTGGAGAAAGGTTTCCAAAAATATTATAGAGAGCAGATGGCAGATGGATACTTCCAAGACGATTTTAGAGTCTATGTGAGTTCTAACAGGCCCTGAAAATAACGGTCATGGCTTACATATACTGTCTATTCAATATAACAGTGGGCACGACGAGCTTCGAGTTGCATCTGATGTTGGCGGAGACTGGCGTAGGTTCGTCGAATCCGCTCCTCAATATATGCATTTTGTTCGTCCAGTTCTCGCTGCTCCTTTGTCTTCTTTCCGTCTTCATATTCTTCCTCGGACCTCTCTGACGTCTCATTCTCTTCCTCTGATGATTCCAACGAATCTTCTTCAGAATCTTCAGAATCCTCCGTCTCTGTACACTCATCCGATTCATCTGTCGACCCTTCTATCTCCTCAATTTCAGGATTCAGATGAAACTTCACGAGATTTTCTTCATCTTCTAGTGGAATTTCTTCATCACTACTATCCAATCCTTCTTCTTCTTCTACTTCATCGCCATCTTCCATACT